TCCCTATGATCGAAGTTATATACTATATAACATAGGCCTTATACACGCAAGCAGTGGAGAGAAACAAAGGTTTTTGAAATATCATTTCCGTGCGCTACAACGAAACCCCTTCTTACCGCAAGCTTTTAATATGGGCGTGATCTATCATTACGTGCGACTATCTCCACAAAAGAATGCAATTCTCACATTTTGAGAAGTGAAACAGTTCAAACTGACTAAAATTATATAAAAAAGTACTAACACTTATAAGACAAAACAAGTATCATTAGATTAGTTATAGAATATATATTTTCATGAACTTTACTACAGCACGGGCGTGCAGTAATTAAGAGATCCGGATGCATAGTCTATATTTGGAAACTATTACCGGCCACCTTCCATATTTAGCTTGCGGGCATCATCGCGCACCTATGCTACTAGACGCAGGTGATCCGCTTGCGCCTTTGGACCCAACATCTAGAAAACCGCACAAAAAGTAAATAAACCAGTTACACACGTGCCAATATGCCATGGTCAACGTGGCTGGTGCTACTACCTCTTTGGTCCGTGTGCGTCGATTGAATACTAGTGTGTTACTGGCATGCGGGCGTGCCGCCCGGTGTCCCTCTGAGTTGAGTCGGTGCTTTCCCTGTTTCATCGTCAGCCGGCTTAGCTACAGTATTTTTCTCTCATAATAAAACAGCTTCAGCCGACTCTTACAATAAAACAGCTTCAGCTGTCTTATCGGTCGGCTTATGTATTAGCCGAACAGAACCTAACCTCCACATATATATTTAATGATATGGACAATTTGACAATTCGTAACAGCTGTATAACGAAGCTTATATACGTGGGTTATCAGGCTAGCCTGCTTACGTCCCAAAGCAAGCACGAGAAATTAAAACATAGAGTAAAGTACTTGAATAGTTCTACTGTTTCAGAATATACCTATTTTTTTCACGAGCGTGTCCTTGTGACACGTATTTCATTAGAAAGAAATAGAGTTAAACAGGTTATAACCAACTTAGGTAATCCAAAGATTACCTAACACATAAAAAGAGAGAAAGAACAATGAAGGAGAAGAACCAACAACCCCAATACCCTACTAGCCAATCCTACGAGAAGATACATCAACGCAAAAGCTACCGACAGAGCGGACCAGGCCATGGTGGCAAAGCATCCACCTAGAGAACTCGAAAAACTAGCGACAACGGCGGCAAAGCATCCTCCTGAGAGGATCAAGGCAACCTTGGCGGCAAAGCATCCGCAAGGTGAACCAGCAGCAACGGCGGCCAAGCATCCGCCCGAGAGGATCAGCGCAACCTTGGCGGCAAAGCATCCGCAAGGTTGGGGGGGCCGTGCACACTCGGCAGCAAAGTATCTGGCAGAGAGGGGGTCCAGAACAGCGACGGCGGCAAAGTATCTACAAAGAGAGATGCCTACACAGATATGCAGCAAAGTATCTGCCAGGTAGCGGACCAAGGACAATGACGGCAAAGCATCCGCCAGAGACCAAGCGACGGTGGCTAAGTCAAGCACTCAAGTAGGACAGACCACTGCGAAGAACAATAAGCACACACAGGAATGGCGAGAGGTAGAACCAGCGAGAGGAACAAAGGACCGAGTGAAGGTACGGTGGTAGGAGCACAACAATGACGCCTTAAGAAGGGAAGTGATGTCCACGGACACCATTGACACCACTATCGTTGGACGAAGTGTCATGCAAGGATTGCCTTTCGGCCAGGATCGATGGCGAAATAGAATTTTCGACGACGCCTCCAAGGAGGTAGATGACGCAGGCTGCGACACCGTCGCCGGCCCGGAGTTGAGGCCGGGCAGGGTTTTCACCCAAATTCATACGCGAGCCCTCGACGCTGCACATCGTGGCTCCACCACGACCAGCAGACATCAATGCGGCCACACCCGAGAAGCACAGACGGCCCCGGCGTGCCTGCTGCTGTTGCAGCATCGTGTCAAAGACAGCATGCTGCGCGTGCACAGGGACAGGACGCAGCTGCCGCCTCCGACCGCCACCGCTCATAGCCTAGCCGGTACTGCGCCGAGCGTACGTCGAGGATCAGGTGCCGCGGTGACGCGCTGCTATTGGAGGCCACCGTAGCGGCAGAGGCGCCTAAATCGTGGTAGGCAGCAACATCCTCCCGCGCGTCCTCAGTGCCCGCAAGCGGAGCCCGGCGCCCCCATGCAGCACAACAACACATGCGCCGCGACGGCCCCTGCGACGCGGCTCCACACACGCGGCCGAGGCCCCGCACCCATCGGCTCCCCACGGCCGACGCGTCACGCATGCGGACGTAGGTAGAGGGTCCTAGCCTGGGCAGCCCAAAGCACGCGACTGAGGCCCCGCGCCCAACGCGTTAGTCAGGCGGACGCTGGCGAGGGACCCAGAGCAGTCGCCGCTACCTCAGGCCGAGCGCACGACAGGGACGGCGGATGACTATCACCTTCCACGGATCCGGTCTCCCCCTGCATGGATCCAACCACCAGAGGCACGGATCTGACAGGAACAAGCACATATGAGGGATTTTAGGGGTGTGGAGGGAGCGGATTCGGTGGTGATAGGGGAGGGAAGGATGAAGGAGGGGGCCTTTTTTGAGCCCCGTCCCCGTGGACGCCGCCGCCACCTGGGAGGAGGCGAGATGCCGCAGCGGCGGCGGCCGAGCTAGCTGGCGGGAGGCGAGGCACGGGGTTGGCCAGGTGGACGCCCTCAAGTCGCCTCTGAGGGAGACGACGCGAGAGAGATGCCTAAGCGCTTCGATACTGATCTTTCTGTCAGAATATACCTAATAGTTGAGCCAGATGGCACAGGATTGACCCGGGAAAAATCGTGTCACAGGGCCGACAAGAACCCCTAGCGTACGGGTGACTGTGAAAAACCTTCCGCATTCTACACACCTATGCAAAGATAAACCCACGAGGACAAAAATCTACGGATCCCCCCTCCTGCAAGCTCAGACTTGACCTCTCCATTGATAAAGGGTCGCATGCTTAGACGCGAGCTCCCATCCATCCGGAGGCCACACGTCCCACTCCGCCTCACTGCTGCCACCTTCCCCCGCCGTGCGCCCCATCCCGCGCCGCATCCCATCCGCCGCTGCGCTGCGCTCCATACCCCGCCGTGCCCACTCCACCTCGTTGTGCCCCATCCCCTGCCGCATTGAGGCGCTACCGAGGTGCTTCCGCTACCGCAGTTCCCCCACCAGGAAGGCCATGGCCACCGCGACGTGCGATCTCAACAAGGAGATGTTGGCTGAAAGCATATGTTACAAATATATGTTTTTAAGGGTTTTAGAGATATGTTGCAAGTGTTTCGTATGGATGTTGCATATATTGGAAGCGTTTGTATGTTGCAAGCGTCTAATCGAAATGTCTCATTTGTTTCAGACGTATGTTACAGGTGTTTTATCTGAATGTTGCATATGTTACAGTGAATATACACATATGCTGCAAGCATATGTTTCAAATGTTTTATATGTTCCAGTCGTATGTTGCAATAAGTGTTTCATGTTGCAAGTGCAGACCGCCAGCATTGGTTTCGACGAGTGCGGCAGGGCCAGGCTATAGCCACCGATGCGGGGAGGAGGCACAAGCCGCCGCTGGCGGTGTGGGGAGGAGATGCAGGTCGCACGGCGTCAATGTAGAAGAGGGCCGCGTGATTCCTCAGCCGAAGAGTCCGACACGGTGGAGGTGGATCGGCGCCCAACGCGTCCGCACGGGGATTAAGCCGGGGGCGGGGGCGATCGTCCGGGCGGTGTGGGCGGTCCCATGTGCGTGCGCGAAACGGTGTCGGCGCGGCAGCGTGCGAATCTAAGCTAACGGGGCGGAGTAGACGCTGGCGAGCGTTTACCTAATAGTTGAGCCAGATGACACAGCACTGACCCGGGAAAAATCGTGTCACAGGGCACGACGAGAACCCGTAGCGTACGCCTTCTACACGACTATACAAAGATAAACCCACGAGGACAAAATTCCACGGATCCCCCTGCTGCAAGCTCAGACCTGACCTCTCCATTGATAAAGGGTCGCGATCCCTCCATTTGGCAAGCACCCAGCTGCAAACCCAACTTCCCGGCCAGGCCACTTCCCTCATCCGCTTTGCACGACCGGCTTGTCCGTCCCCCCCCTGGTTGTGCACATGACCTCGCTTCTGGGTGACGGACGACGGTGTTCAGCTCGGCCCTGCTGCCTCTCGTGCTTCAGTGGATGGTCGGCTGGAACACCAAGGTCTTGATTACACGAGCAAATGAGCAATGGCAGAGCACGGCTTCATTTCCATTCAACTTCTGCTCAACCGCAGTCTGTAGATCGCTTCAGCTCGCTCTTCCACTGCCTTCAACAATGGGCTGGTAGCATATCTATCATGCGTGCAGGCTTACCAAGTTAAAAAATACCCACTGTTGCTGACCCTCAGCATCAGACAAATCCTCAGACAAGGTTACTAGCACATTCTGGCCAGGCATCCTATTCAGGGCTACAGACCCACAGTGGCATTCCAGAGGAAACATTTTTTTTTTACTTGCTCCTTTTATAGAGAGAGAAAAGGATGTAACAGATTTCGGCCCTCCTTTCCTCACCAAGTCACCATGCATTTATTTTGAATGGCGAGCGCTGCAGTTTATTATTTCACCAAAAACAGCCCATGGATCAACATGAAAGCACAAGGCCTATCGTATCTCGGCATTTCCCGTTGTCAAGCAAATGCAGGAGGAAGCAGCCACTCTGACGGCAAAGGCGGGAGGGCAAAGCAGGTAACAAAAGAAGCCTACTACATCGCAGGGCAGTCATATTCCCAGGCAACATCGCTCACATTACTTCTGCTCCATGTTCAAGTTTTTTGTACCACCGACCTCAAAAAAAAATAGTTACTGTCATACTATGGATCGAATCAGATTCGCAACCAAAATACCAGCCATGTAGCTAGTATGACACAAGAACATCGATGTACTACTATACGGGGTATGGATAGCAAGAGACAGATTCTCCATGTGAAGCACCGGATCAGATCAACCTGGGGTGCCTTTGTATCTAGGATGAGATTGGCCTGAGGATTGTCCCACAGCGTCTGCAGGAATGTAGGAAGCATGGCCAGCGTCCGATCCCTTCTGCTTGTTTACAGGTTTATAGGTAGGGCTACCGATCAGCTCCCATTTCTTTTCGAGCACTTCAAATTGAGCAAAAAAGATGGTCCTGAATTCAGAAGCCAAGTAACCGACACACAGAAGGTTAGGTAACAGAGGAAGCTAGAGTCCTCTTTTTTCCAAAGTGGCAAATTGGTAAGTGAACAAAACCACGAACGGAAGATGACAGGAGGGTGTCCACCTTATTAAGATGTAGTTATGTCCTATATAAGAACTTGTTTCAAGCAATAAAAGGTCCACTAAAGATGAATCAAAAGTTTTCTAAACATATAGTACATCATGCTTCATGCAGATACACACACAGCCAAGGCAAACTCGATCTCTCTTGCACTGCACAAGTCTGCACATATAGTGCAACATGAAAAGGGATCCATACCTGCAATTCCGGAAGGTGTCAAAGAAGAACTTGTGGAGGCGAACTACAGTTCCTATGCAGATGCAATTATTATCAACCAGGTGTCTTAGGTTGGATATGAGAAAACCGCACATCCAGTAGACACCATCTGAGAGCGAAATATGGTACCGTTCTTGATTATCTTTTGAGACATCAACTACCTGCATCACTGGCTGCTGTTCTGCTATCATCTGACCCTCCAGAATTGCCACCACTGCCCCCCAAGTCAGATGGCCCTTGAAGCCTTGGCCACTAGGACAGGGTCCATTCATTGGTTGAGCATAATTGGCCACTGATCTGGGATATGGTTCCCCATATTTACCCTCAGGCACATAGGGTTTTTCAAATAATGAGAGCTCATATGCTTTAGGGCTTCCAATCAGTTCACATACTGTTTGCAGTACTTCAAGTTGGATAACAATGATCATACTGAACTCAGAAGTAAGCATGCGGACAGGGAAAAAACAAAAAAGGTCAACAAAGTATGGTGAATGTGTTAGGTAAGTGTAATCGTTTTTCCTCGACTGAAAAACATTTTCCAAGAAATAAATTACAACATTTATAGTGGCCAGCACTCAGCACAAACCAGAACACAGACGAACTAGTAACATGACAATCCTAAACCCCCTTTTTACAGGCTGTAATATTGAATAGTGGAAATGACAACTATCTACAACATGACACCATGTAGTGAGTAGAATAGGCGGAGTAATAATACAGCGCTCAACCAAAACCAAGCACTACACGTTCAAGTGGAAGCCCCATAAATATAATAAGAAGAAACAGCATATCAAAATTATGAATCCAGTTACTCCAACCAAAGCACAGCTGACAGCAACACACGCCATTACTAGGTTTGGTAGTTCAATAATATGGCCAACTGGCCAATATATAGTGTCAAAGATGACATGAAATGATAAAATAGAGTGGTGAATTATTTCAAACTTTGTTTACAAGGTGATCTTTGAAAAGTGAAAAGGAAAACAAAACCTGATCACTTGAGGACCTGAACCTAGGTGGTCAGGGTGTACACTTAACACCTTTAACCAACTGAGGTCAATCTCATGACCAAGAATACACACTCAATCAACAACTGAAGATTTGACAGTTTAGCTCTGTAAAGTGCTGATTGGGCAAATAATACCAGTATCTACAAGGTCAATCTCATGACTAAGAATAAACAAGAGGGATAGCAAATAATGTTTCAAATGTTACATCTCGGTACCAGATAAATTTGGAATGACATGAATGACATATTGAACATTCAACACAAGTTGGGACACAAAACATGATAAGTGGAAGTCATGCAGCAAAAACAAATGCTGTTGTAAAGTATAAATTCAACTAAAGCAAACCATGTCTGACATGCTGAGATATTTTCCAATGTTTCAATATGACAAGGCTAAACTCAATCATTGACAAGGTTGACTTTCCACTGCAACAAAGAATGTAGAAATGTATCTCTCTTCTTGTACAGTATGTCAGTATTTTGATCTCTCTTCAATCACTGTTAATAGCTAAGTAGGACCCGAAAAACACCATCGGATGAAATTATATAAAATGTGGACAAAGTATATAATAGTATTGATCAAAAAGTACACCCCATGGATGAGCTATCGATCAGTTAGTATTCTTGCAAAGTTGCATGCAAACTATCTGCACACGCTGTGAAGTGAAAATGTATTGAACTGCAACTAAGTGGCCACATTATAAATCAGTACATATACTTCAACAAATAAAAATATTTCAACCAACAAAGTGATAAATGGCCCTAAGACCTCAACCAGTATTTCTTGCACAAGGATCCATTTTTGAGAAAACAAGGAATGATTCGCACCTGGGACTCTTGGCGGTATCGCAAATAAACTCAAGGAGGCGGATGATGGAACCCTTGATGAGAAGAATGTTTTCAACCAGGTGATTCAGGCCGGGTGCTAGTGTAGCATACTGTGTGTGCACAGTATCAGAAAGTATCAAGTGGTACCTCCCAAACTTCTTCAGCTCTGATCTCATCAGTGACACATCAACCACCTGCATCACAGGCTGCTGCAATGCGGTTACCATCCCCCTTCTTGTCAGGAATTCCTTCAGGCGTTGCCCAGCAGAATAGGCTTCACAGTTCAGTTTGGCATTACTGGACAGTGATTCAGCGTCCAATTCCTCACGCTTGTTTTCGAACTTGCCAGATGGATACTGTTTGGGATTTCCAACCATCGTGCAATCCGTCCGCAGCACTTCAAGTTTTAACACAACGATGACCCTGAATTTCAAAGACAGCTTATGAAAGGGTAGATAGAAGTGGACAGCAAATTTATAGCATTGAACATACTGCACATAGCTAATGGAGGATTTAATTGTACATCCCTTAGATCATGTTGTTAGCAGCCCTAGCATAGGGCCAATAAGATCACCTTCTTATCAACAAGATTGGATGGATTTAGGGGAACGTGGCCACGACAATAATTCAATTATTATCACAAAGGAATTACAACTCAGAATCTATGATAGCACAGCACGAATATCTAAACTGAAATTCGAGCATGCAACCGAACCAAAGCACTGAAAGTTTTTTTTTTCACGCAGGAGAGCTGTGTATCTTTGTATTATAGAGAGGAAAAAATGGCCCCTATACATTACCAACTCATGCCAGGACCATACATGAGAAAGTTGGATACACTTACAACACAATTACCTGGTATCTGGTAAACACGTTTAACCGCCAAAAAGAAAGGAAAACTCATCCGAGTGTTCCTACCCCATCCAGTCCCAGAGCTTGGAGCTTCTTAGCTCCGGCTAGACACCATAGCTTATACTCATCCCTAAATTGTTGCAAAACTTCGCTAACAAAAGGGGTTTCTCTATCAAAGACATAAGTGTTATGGTGCTTCCATAGCAACCATGCAGTCAATATGATAAGCACTGAAAGTAAGAGTTGAAATCACCAAAAAATAAAATAAAAAAAGGAGAAAAAAGGCATCATTCTAAACACTAGTAATTTAGTTGATATTTATATTAATATAAAAAATGAGTTTTCACAAGACTTTATACAAGCCTACAGGCCTAATATGCCACTCAAACTTAATTCATAGAACAAAACACAAAAAACTTCCCTTAAACCAACCAGTGCTGAATTATAGCCTGAAATGCAGATCATATGAAAATACAAAGAGGTGCCTCAAACTACCCAACAAGAAATTAATGGAACCGAATGTTAAATAGAAAAAATTAATTACATGGTCCACGTTAATTTATTCCTGCAAGTTACCACCCAGCTACAACCGAATGAGTTGCATATAATCTACTGGACGTACTGCATGAGCTGCTTGTTCACCTAATAGCGATTGTGAGCGGCTAAAGTGTTCCTACAGGAGCAAGGCACGCAAGAGAAAATGAATGATTTATAGAAGCATATCATAAATCCCCTAACCTTACTGAGAATTTAGAGCAGGGAAGGCTAAACTCACATACCCCAACAACTGCGTAACTGCACAACAATCAGAACACGTGATGAAACCACCTCATAGTTGATAGGAGTTTCAGGTCTATGAATCCTTTATGCACAAGCAGTTTATGGTGTGGGTAAATGTGTGTCCATGCACTATGAGTATGAGGTAACATATTTGTCCCACATCTACAAGTTTAAATATGTCCTTGGAAACATACTTTTGTGTGCATACCGGTAGGTGTATTTCTCATGCGCATGTGCATCAAACATAGTAATTAATAATTAATAAAAAAAAGGAACTTGTAAATTTTCACAAACCCAATTTTCTGCTTTTGCTTCTGATTCACACATAAGCCACCCAACAATTACCAAAAACTTGGCAATATCAAATACCAATTGAATTTGGATGCAGGGAAGCAACCCATACCTCTCACTTCTGTCATTGTGGCACGTGAACTCAAGGAGTCGGACCACTGCGCCCATGTGGAGGCGGCTGTCCCTGAAGATCGATGAGCTGATTATGTATGGGGAAAGGCCGCCGCGGATCAAATGGGTGCCGTCCGAGAGCAAGATAGGGGATAACCATGGTTCATCCATCTCTGCCCATACAAGCAGGTCAAACACTTGCAGCACTGGCTGCACCACCGCAGCCACATCCTCCCAGATGGCCGCCACAGCTCCCCACGTCAGGCTTGCCTGCATCTCCATGCCTCCCTGATCCTTGCAGAAGCTTCCAGAAATGGGCAGTAAGGACTCCAAGTTGGAGTGGCTCTGTTTATTTCCAAGCTCATAGAAGGTTGGGTTTCCAATCAGCTCACATTCTGTTTGGAGTACTTCAAGTTCCACAGCAATGGCAATCCTGAATTTTTCATGCCAACAACAGGTGAAATAACACAAGATGGATGAGTTCAATTTTAGCAAATTGTAAGACTTAGAGACTGTCAGCTGAGGGAATGCACCTTATTGAGAATTTCAGATGTACGTGGTGTGCTGTACAAGGACCTTATTTCAAGCAATAAATTCACTTTGTAATAGGTCCACCTAATGACAAGTGAGAATTCTTCTAACATGTGCAAATGAAAACGCACAGGCAACAAAAGATACTATATCATGCATATGACTAATGTGGCAACATTATTTGTCGGACGAACATAGATGAAGGCCAATCTCGCCTCCAACAAAATAAAGCCAAGAACTCTCAACATGCAAGAAAGTTTGATATCAACTCAGTTAGTTTATTTTATATAAGAACATAAGGGATCCTTACCTGCAATTCTGGTCCTGGTCGACTGTGTCACGGATGAACCTGAGAAGGCGGACTCTTGTACCTTTCTGGAGGCAACTGCCCTCAACCAGGTGGCTTAGGTGGGGAAAGAGGTTGACGTACACCTGGTGGACACCATCTGAGAGCAGTATACGGTAAAAGCTGAACCCATTGTGACTCGCTAGTGAGAAATCAACCACCTGCAGCACTGGCTGCCGCTCTACCGCCATCTCACCCTCCATTATTGCCACTACTGCACCCTGAGTAAGGTACCAATTCAAGCCTTGACAAGTAAAATAGGGTCCATTATTTGGTTGAGCATAATTGGACACTGATCCAGAATATGGTTCAATAGATTCACTGTCGAGTCCATAGACTTTTTCAATGCAACAGAGCTCACATGCTTTGGGGCTTCCAATCAACTCACACTCTATCGGCAGCACTTTAAGTTGCCAAACAGTGATAATACTGAATTAAGAAACATACAACAGGAAAAGCAATAAATCATAAAGCATTGAGAATTTGTTGGACAAGTAGTACTTTAGAAATACTACCAACCGATCTTAGCATGCCACAACCATATTCCTAAGATTATAGCACAATGTTCTTCTTGCTCTAACAGTAAACATTTTCAAGAAATAAAGTTAGTTATACTCCCTCCATTCCAAATTATAAGACGTTTTGGCTTTTCTACATACATAGTTTTTGCTATGCATTTAGATATACATTATGTCTAGATACATAATAAAAGCAACGTATGTAAAAAAGCCAAAACGTCTTATAATTTGGAACGGACGGAGTACTATCTAATGATCAACAGGAAACATAAACCATGAAAAATACCGATATGACTGCTACAACATTTGAATAACTTACAGACATGATTTGCATACTGACACCTATCATAGTAAATGAAATATGGGAACTAATAATAGAGCATTCAACCCATGCTAAGCACTAAAAGTCTAAGTTTAAGCCATAGAGAAACTAAACACTACTACAAAACTAAGAAATCTAGTTACTCCAGTCAAAGCACACTCCATCGCTTCTTTCACTAGCTAATCATGTGGTCACATCCAGAAGGATGGCATGAAATGACTAACGGGATGGTAAATTAGTTTTAGAAATGTGTTTAAATAATGATTCCAGTTATCCTTGAAAAGTATTGGCAGATCTAAACAGATATATACCAATGTTTTCAGGTCGTCCGATTAATCGCGATTAGTCGTCCTGGTCGGTCCCTGGTATTCGATTAGGACCAACTCAATTAGCTCGACCAGAAAGCTGATCGTCCGATTAGTCGAACATGTGGGACTATGGAAATGGTCTGTTTTTGGGCCACTTTGGTTACTCTGTTTTTGGGCCTGTTTAACTGGGCGAACATGTGGGACTATTGAATGTCAATGTTTGTGACTTTGTGTTGAACACTTTAGCTTATCTGTACTGAACTAATTTGGTTATGTAATATGCTGGCTGTGTGGCTGCTATGGTCTACTAAATGTTAGTTATTTTGCTACTGCAGGAGTGCTGCTGTTCAGGTGCGTCAAGATCAAGACTGCATTAGTGTCACCAGCTAAACACTAATGCAGTCTTGATGCTTGCTTTATTGTGTATACTATATAGTATATATATATGTGTGTGTGTGTGTGTGTGTCCTGATATACATGGACGACTAGATGGACGACCAGGGTCGACTAATCGGCCTGGTCGACGACTAATCGCGATTAGTCTCCTGGTCGGTATATACTCCAGGTTCGACCAGACGACCTGAAACATTGATATATACTCAATAAAGATGGAATGGAACTATGGAAATGGTCTCTATAAAAAGATACATTGATAAAAAAAAAGGGTACCAGTCTTTGGAAGGCCAGCTTGACAACAAAATATAACCTAGAGATCTAGCAAATACAAGTGGCACTGCTCCAATAGTTACAGCTTACGAGTTACAACTCAGTCCATCTCTATAATCACTAGCCACAAATATGATACCTATGATTCTACAGGTAAGACTTCTGAATTGAGCACTGAACATTAAACTCAAAGTTCAAACATTTCAATCTTAAGTCACAGACCAAAAGAGCAAACACTACTAAAACTTGCACTCACTAAGACTGAAACAAACGTGATAGGCAGTAACTTGTTTATGGCTTCAATATGAAACTTAAGACTATTGATTTTTCAGCATTGACAACAGGTTCCACAGCAATGACATATCGGTCATATCACAACTAAGTCATAACAGAAAATAGAGTACATGAGAACATTAGGAACTAATAATTCACATATTGTGGCATTCTTCACCTCAATGATTGTCAATAAACAAGAAGGGGCCCAAAAAAATAAAAATAAAAATAAAAAAGACTTGTAAACTATAGCCAGTCTATCAGAGGTTATTCCTGTATCTATATGAAAACTATTGGTAAGCATAGTGGCACTGAACAAAAAAGGAGAATTGTGCTGCACTCTTGCCTCTATGTGGCACAGTGGCAGTCTAGCAAATAATGTTAAATAAATCCGAAAGAATAATAAAGTGATTAAAGCGAAGAAACCACAAACATCAAGGATCCAGTTTCAGAAAAATAAGGAACTATTGGCACCTGCGATACCGAACATTACAGCAAACAAAATCGAGGAGGCGGACAATGGTGCCCTTGCGGAGGTGAGTTTCCTTGACTAGATCGTTGAGGCGGGGATGTAGCGTAGCATTCTGTGTATGCACACCATCAGAGAGGATCAAATGGTACTTCACGAGAGTTTTTGGCTCTGGTCTCAATAGTGAGACACCAACCACCTGCATCACAGGATGCTGCAACATCGCCACCACCCCCCTCATCAAAAGCTGTTTCAAGCCTTGACCGATAGGATGGGCTCTAAAGTTCTGTTTGGAAGAACTAGTCACTAATTGAGCATCCAATTTCTCATGCTTTTTTACCAAGTAGCCAGGCTGGTATCTTTTGGGATCCCCAATTTTCAAGGAAGTACGCAGCACTTCAGCATGTTCAGAGTCAATTGACCTGAAATTCAAAGATAAAATACGAAAAGGTAAATAATAAATAATGGTGAGTTCATTGGATTCAAATTTCAAAGTACTCAATAAATAAAACAGCTAAGTTAAGTACTGTATCCTTCAATGGTGCTGTTATTTAGCTCTAGCATTAGCAATGCGTAGAGAAGAACCAAAGAATTTAGGGGAAATGGCCATAGAAATCATTAGCATCACATCTCCGAAATCACCTTCACCAACATGAATACTATGATAGCACAAGGACAGCTAACCAGACATTGAGTATGCAACTAAATCAAAGTACTGAAAGTAATAGTTGAATCTATCAGATAAATAAAAAGGGCAAAGTTCTTCTAGAAATCAAGTAATTTAGCTGGCATTTTTTTACTATATAAAAATTGTTGTGCACAAGACACAGTAATGTAAGTTGTCTACAAGCTTAATACACCCCACAAGACAAGGTCATCAAGAATTTGAATGAGTTGCAGCTGCATCCCCTGCACCAGCCAGCGCTAAGCCACTCATGATAGCATGAAGTGGATGGAAACATAAAGAGATATCATGAGCTAGTCAACAGGAAATATGAAACCAACGCTAAATAGCCAATACTAACAACATGGCCCACATTAGAGAAATTTACTCCCTGCAAATTACTGCATATCTACAAGTGAAACAGATAGCACATCATCTACAACTACTAAATGTACTCAATCAATTGTTACCACAGAAATCAATGATAGACAACCGGAGTATGCCCTTTTTTCCCCACAACGGAATACCCGAATTTCATTACTGAGGCAACGAAATTACAAAGTTCACAAGTTCAGAGTTGAAGCAAGCACCGGAGTATTCCTGCACGCGCAGACACAAAGACCAAATGATTACTGTAACTGCAAGGAACCGCAAAACCTCCCCACCCAACTCTTTGCCAACACCCGAAACTACCTGATGGTAAACATCCCCTCCCCCTCCAAAAATGTACTGCCTACTTACTACTCATTTGCGCCACATAGTAAATTTGCAAAAGTTTAGACAAAAATCTAAACATCCCCCTCCCCCTCCCCCTCCAAATTAATGGGGAAAATTAAATATCAAATTGTTCCTGCGAAAAACGATCCGAGCAGGTGGGTGGGAAGCGGCGCGCACCTCGCACCCTCGATATTTGTTCTGGTCTCGAAGTCGAGGAGGCGGACCACGGCGCCGTAACCACGCGGGGCCGCCCGGACGGCTGCCGAGGCGGTTTCGTCGAGGCGCAGATGACCGGCAATGAGGTGGGCGCCGTCGGAGAGCGCCGCATGGCACCATCCTGGTTCTGGCCGCTTTGGGCACGAACACGTGCGCACCACCAGAACCTGAAGCACCAGCGGCATCTCCCGCGCCACCTCGCCCTCCCAGATCGCCGCCACCGCCCCGAACGACAGGTCCACCTCCATGGCTCACCAGTCCTTCTAGAAGCTTCAGGAAGCAGGCAAGCGGTTGCTAGCAAGGGCGTGGGGGAAGCAAGCGGGCGGTTGCTAGCGAGGGCGTGGGGTGGGTGATGGGTTATTTGAACAGGGGGCGGCGGGGAGGGCGGAGAGAACTGGAGCGGCGCCGAGGCGGTGGGATTTCGGGGAATGGCCGGTCAGAGTGTGGGGTCGATTTCAGTCAAAAGGAAAATGTGTCAGTAAAAATTTAATGGCATGGCATTAATATACCAAGAGAAAAGCGTTGTAAATACAAAAAAAAAGGAAACACTATTGTGTTTTTTTAAGGGAAAATACTATTGTGTATTACTGTGTACTCCGTATCTATAGATGCTATCGAAAGTTTAGACACGAATTCAATCAAAAAATTATATAAAAAGATTCATGTGTATCTGAAAACAAACCATTAGCTCAAAATCCAGGAAAGAAATCAGCAAATCAAAACATGTTCAAGCGCCAAATTCAGAAGTTACCCAAAATTCCACTAGTGCGACAGAAATGAAACCTTAACGAGAATCGTAATTCCACTAGAAGCGCCAATTTCAAAAGTTGCTACAGAAGAACAGACAGAGTGATCACATTCACATCATCACAAAATAACAAGCGATCTCGCGCCAACAGATGATCACATTCAACATCACGAAATACACATTCAAAGTGATCACATTCACATTCACATTCAAAGCAGATGATTCACAGATAAACAAGTAGCTGGGTTAAATAAGCACCATTACTTTTCCATCAGATAACGCAGTTGCTACAGAAGAACAGACAGAGAAAGAAACCACCAACATCTAACTACAGCAAGGCACATGGCCAGACTAGAGAAGCCTGCAATCGGCGCGGCGGCCGCGCAGCCTAGGACGAGGTGAACTTGGTGACAGCCTTGGTGCCCTCGGAGACGGCGTGCTTGGCGAGCTCCCCGGGGAGGACGAGGCGGACGGAGGTCTGGATCTCGCGGGAGGTGATGGTGGGCTTCTTGTTGTACCGCGCGAGCTTGGCGGCCTCGGCGGCGAGCTTCTCGAAGATGTCGTTGATGAAGGAGTTCATGATGGACATGGCCTTGGAGGAGATGCCGATGTCCGGGTGCACCTGCTTCAGCACCTTGAAGATGTAGATCTTGTACGTCTCCACGCTCTTCTTACCCTTCTTCCGGCCCCGCTTGCCCTCGCCGCCGCCCTCCTTGCCCGCGGACTTGCCCGCGGGCAGCCGCTTCTCGGCCTTCGGCTTCTTCCCGGCGGGCGCCTTCTCGGCCGCCGCGGGCTCCTCCTCCGCCGGCTTCTTCGCCGCGGGCTTCTTCTCGGCCTTGGGCGCCATCGGTGCGATGCGAGCCGGGGGGGTTTGCGAGGGAGGGAGATCGGTTGGGATTTGGGAAGAAATGCGAGGAGATGTGTTCGCTGTTGTTTGGATGGGAGAGGAGGCGGGCGGCGGTGCGTTAATTATAGGACGGGAGAGGTGAGCGCTGATTGGTGGAGGGGCAGGTGCCGCGGATCGCTGGCTTAAAGCGGCGTGGGCCGTTGGTGCTTCTTCCCACGGACGGTCGCGATGCGCTTTTGACGCGGATCCCTGACGTGGCGGAGAGGAGGGCGGGAGCGGATGGGAAATGATGCTTTTCGTCGCCCGCGCGCCGTTGCCAAATCGAAATTCTAAAGAAGCTAGTAAAATTGAATTCCAGCAGGCTAGCCACGCTGGGCAGCGCTGGTGAGCGGTGACCCTTTTTTTTTCCTAGAACAATTTCTTGCTCCTTTCGATTCAACTTGTCAGCCCATAACGACAAATCAGGCTGAGAAAGAAAATCGAAGTTGAAATAATGTTTTTCTCTCACAACAAAATCAGCTTAAACTTATTAGCCATAGAATAGTATTTTTCTCTCACAACAAATCAGCTTCAGCCGTCAGACACGGGAGCGCACGCCATAACTCTGCCGTCAGGCACGATGGCCCAGATGCCATCAAACTGCCTGCACTGAGCGTCAGCAGACGGGACGCGCCCAGAAGCAGCCACGCCCGCTGACAAGGAGGCCCCACGATGGCCTCGGGGGTTGTGCCGGCCCCAGATGGAGTGACTCGACCCCCCGATCAACGGGTGCTCGGGCGACGCACCCCCAAAAATCAGCCAACTCCTCAGAGTTGGGTCGGGAGCCGCTGAGCGGTGGACCCAACGAGGGTCCCCCACCTAAGCTCGGCGCGCTCCCTCGCACCTCGACCTATGCCCACGGAAGGTCAGCCCAAAAAAATTATTTCAGTCATGACTTAAGGAAAGATTCATATAATACTTTTTCTAGAAGTCTCGTTACTGTTAGGAACTTATTATTATGGACCCTATGTTACTTAAGTTGTTGTGAAATGAGATATAGTAGAATAATGAGAACTTGATTCTTGATGTCTCGTTATTGGAGAATTTTATTTCAAAAAGTAAAGTGAATAGCTACACCTCTCCTTTATGGTAATCAATATCCTACTAGAGCCGAATATAGACTAGAGAAATCTTCTACATATATTACTTGTCATTATATTGAGTTTGGTCAAACCTTGTGACTCTTGTTGAGAAACTTATCATGCTCTCAAGATCACGATCAAGTACACTCCACATATATCTGTTACTCCTACATTGGGACTACATAAAAACATGTTTTTCATCCACCCAAAAATGTTCTACTCTTACACTGGGAATAGACACAAAAATAAGTTTGTTAAGATAAATGCTCCAAGTTCTTATGTATGTCTCTCTTGAAAAATTTCAATTGCAGAAAAAGAGGCATGGGCTATGCAAGAGTTATTCAGAAAAAGAGAAAAGTATTGAAAATAAACAAGTGTATGAGATATCTAAAACAATTGGTACTCAAATGCTCACCTGAAAAAAATGAATAAGATAGCCCATATTTTCTTGCAAAAGTATTTTCAAGTTTCAAACAAGAGAGACATGTTTCAATGAGCATAGTAAAATTAGGATAGCCACCATATCCATATCCACACATACACATCTGGATCTAAGAGTATGACATTTTTCTCCTTGATCCTTGTTTTGACTTTACAATATATGTAATACAAGTATGTTTTCATATTCATCCCTACCTGAGCTCCACATAAGCTTTTTAGAAATAGGCAAAAAGAAGGCAAAGTCATTAATGCCTTGGTGAGGATCCAAAAATACTACATATATTGAGTGATTTGAGAGAACCACAAGAGAAGAAGATAAGCTATGTTTTGTTTTCAAAAATCTTAAAATGTTTCTCCAATTGACTTGACTGAAGAAATATAGTGATCTGTTTCAAGCTCTTCCATTCTTCAACCGCCCAAAGTTTTATGGTAGACACTTTGAATCCCGCAGTGCATGCATGACTAGGAATGGTTTTATGTTGATGCCTTGTCCCAAAGTTATATCTTGAGTAATCCATTCTTTTATCGAGGATGAGTAAAAGCCTAAGTATGGGGAAGTTTGTTGACGATAGTTAACATTCGTCACAAACTTGTATAAATGGCTAAAATGGATCACCACTGTAGACTTAGGGGTTTAAACTGACAAATTCTACGAGTTTTGGTGAATCTGTGTTTCTAGCAGGATTTAATCAGAAAATCGCTAAGGAGGACCTATTCGTCAAAGGAAATTATGGAATTCCACCACGTAAATAACGTGAGAAGACTCTAGAAGACTCCAGAAGATGAATCACCAAAGCGGGACACATGTCACTGACATGTGGGTCCGCCCCACCCCACATGCAGGCCGCCCAGCCCCTATGGGTCCCACCTGTCAGCCTCTTTGCTATGTTGGTTCTCCACCGCCTTAAGGATTGCATCTCCGCCATTTGTTCAATTCGATTTGATCCAAAGGCTTAGGATTGATGCTTCGGCCTATATATATCTGCCTACACCCCCCCTCCAGGGCATGCCTCATATGATCCTGAGAATATTGCTTGCTTTGACATCTCTATATATAACCCGTAACCGAGAGTGTTTATGCAAATACAAAAGTCCTTGTGCAATCCCTTTGATTATCACGAGTCGTTTATCCCAATTTAGTAAGGTTCTTCTTTTTTTCATCTGCACATCAATTAAACATAAACACAATAGAGAAAACATCTACAGAGTTTAGAAGCAGTGCACAGAACAGACTGGCTAATTGTTGAAACAGTTATACCGAATATGAAGAAATCTAAGCTTTTATTCTTCAGATATTCGTAGACCAGCATTTTTTCCTCCCCATGGGAGCAATATCCCAACAACCTAACCAAATTTCTATGCTGGAGTTTTGCTATGAGCTGGACTTCATTTCTGAACTCTGTGAAACCTTGCATAGAATGCGAAGCAACAGCCTGTTCGGTTGACTGGTTCGTATCGTTGCTGGTTCGTTTATGTGAGAGAGAAGTACTGTTGGCTGGTTCATTGGAACAGTGTCCATGTGAGGGGGCTGGCCAGCCCAGCCAGCCAGCCAACCCTAGCCGATCACGCTGCAAGTCTTTTAAACTGCTATCTCCAACCCATCAGGAAGCCGGCCCTGTGGAAAAGATTTTTTTCTCTATACTCAAGTCAATGGAAACTACGATGTGCAAGATCATCGGTCTTCTATCCTGCAGAATGTTAATTTCTCTATTTGTGTGCATTCGTGCATGTTTTCTAGAGACGTTAAAAATAATCAACCAAGGTCAACTACCTTGTAAACAGGACCGAAGCCACCTTGCCCAAGTTTATTTTCTACCGAGAAGTCATTTGTAGCATCCAAAACCTGTGAATAATTGAAAAATGTGAAATCTGGATTGTTCCCTTCTGTTCCCCATACTAGCTCTACATCTCGGTGCACAATCACATTTGATCTATCCCTTACTCTGTTTGCCTGTATCAGCAATTGATGTAGTCCATTAGTCACAAACTACCAACAAAAACGTGATAAGTAGATGAAGCAGCAAGTATTAAGTAGCACAAAATTCCGTATCTGACCTTTGTTGAGGCTTTTGAACACGATTGGTCCAAAGC